ACCATAATTTTGGCCCAAACCCATCCTTGAAGCATCCATAACTTCATTCTTTCAAAAAATTTGGATGCCTCAAAGGGCACAAGCCCTTATCAAAATCTTGAGGTTTAAATATCCATTAATGCTTTCCTCTACAATCAATATATGATTGATAGTTATACACAATTCCTAATGCCTCATTCATGAGGCTTACTTTATGAGATAATTTCTCATTCAATTCTTAATGGTTTTTGGTTATTCTTTTTGTGGTGTAAATATTTTATTACAAAGAATCTAAACCTATTTAATCCCACCTCAACCAATAGTTAGGACCTTCTTTAGCCTTCGTTTGGAAAGAGCAAAAATAGCCTAGTTTTTGGCTTTTTAACTATTTTAGCCTGACTTTTTTTGCCTCGTTTGGTTTATTTGTTTTTGGCTTTTTCAACTTTTATGAGGGAAAAAGTATATTGATTATGGTTTAGATGTGACGTTTTGTCTTTATTAACTTATGTAGGCAACTTTAACTTTTGCACTTTTTTTGTCAAAAAATCAAAACAAAACATAATTTTAATTTCATATTAAAGTCACTATAAAATCATAGTTCCAACAAATGCTGCATGATTGACGCAACTCTGCACAATGCCATTAGGAATAAGGGTATAATTGTTAGGTTTTATTCTTGGCAACCCCGTTTGACAAAACTCCTTTCAGTTGTATTTGTTTTCGCACCTTTTATTTCAGTGAGGCTATGAGTATATTAGATGCGAATCCAACCCGAATCGTGCCTTTGTCAATTTCCATGGATCAAAACTGAGGTTGTAATAGGATCTAGTTTTCTAGATTTTCCAATTTTGGTCGTCCCGCTCGAGCGGGGATTGCAAGCTCACAGCATCTCTGCTTCGCCTGAAAAAGTACTGGATGGTGTGATTTGACGCTCGAGCATGGAAACTTCCGCTCGACCATGAAGCCTACATGAATCACACAATTTTGAAGCCTCCGCTCGGGCAGGAATTACTACGCTCGAGCGGACCGCGCGAACACAGATTCTTGGATTTCTATAAGGAATTGGTTTTCTTCCAAAACTAGGATTACTTTGGATTTTTATAAGTAGTTGGTTTTCTCCCAAAACTTTACCAACTTCTCCAGATCTTCTTTTTGGATTCTAAGGTTTATATCTGGGGATATTTGCTAGTTTTCTTTGATGTTTTGATTGAGTATTCAACTCATGGTTTAAAGAGTATACATCAAAGGATTATTTGTTTGTTCTACACAAAAGAGAGAGTTGTTCTTCGGTGGATTCTGAAGAATTCGAACCTGAAGCTTTGGTGGATTCCGGAGTGGCTCATCGTCAAGACAATTCCGAGGTAAAGACGGGGTTGGCAAAGAGGCACATAGAGGTTGGTTCAATTCGGGTGTGGATTCGCTAGGTAATTGAGAGTATATACCTGTGTAATTCCTTTATTATCTTCTTAGTGGATTGTTTTTGTGCTGTTGCCCGTGATTTTTTATCACAATTGGAGGTGTCCAATTGTGATTTTTTCACGTAAAATCGTCGTGTCGATTTGTCTTGATTGTTTGATTGGCGATTGTATAGTAGTGGCTTAAAATTGATACATAATCACAAATCAACATCTAGCGGGTTTCTAGATTTTTCAATTGGTATTAGAGCGGGTCGTTCTATTTTTTTTAAAACTTATATCTTTTAGAACGAGATCTTGTTTGATTTGTGATAATGGATTCAATTCGTGAGGGAAATTCTATGGTTCGACCACCCCTACTTGACGGATCCATTTATCCTTTTTGGAAAGCTCGGATGAGATCGTTTTTGAAATCTATAGATGAAAAAGTTTGGCAATCTGTCATGAATGGGTGGACCGAACCAACAATTACCGTTGATGGAGTAACTTTCCCCAAACCAATTGAAAAGTGGGACACAATTGATTACCAAAATAGTAGCTGGAATAGTAAAGCTATCAATTCTCTCTTTTGCGCTGTCACACTTGAAGAGTTTAGTCGTATTTGTAATTGTGAAGTCGCAAAAAAGGCTTGGGATATCTTACAAACTATTCATGAGGGCACTCCTTTTGTTAAACGCTCAAAACTTCAAAGGCTCACTCTAGTTTTGAAAACCTTTCAATGAAAGATAGTGAGACCTTTGATGAATTTTATGCGAAGTTGAGTGACATTGTAAATTCCAGCTTCAATTTAGGTGAAAAAATACCGGAATCCAAGATTGTAGAAAAAATTTTGAGGTCCTTGCCCGATCGGTTCCAACCAAAAGTTACGGCTATTGAGGAGGCTCAAGATGTTGGCAACCACAAGCTGGATCAGTTGGTTGGAAATCTCCAAACTTATGAGGCACACAGGAATTTCAAAAAGAAACAAAAAGATATTACTTTTAGTAGTGCTCATAGAGTTGGAGAGGATTCTGATGAGGATTGTGAGATAGATTCCAAGTTTACGGCTGCTTTTGTTAAACAATTTAAAAAATCCTTTTTGAAAAAGAATCTTAATCTTTTAAAATCTACTCATACTCATAAATCTAAAGGCAAAGATAAACTCAAAATTAATTCTATAGCCAAGAAAGAGAAAAAAAAAAAGGATACGCAAAAGAAAAAGAAAAAGAAAAAGAAGAAGAAAAAGAAAAAGAAGAAGAAAAAAATATGCAAAAGAAAGAAAGAAAAAGAAAAGAAAAGATTCATTGATGCCTTTACTCACCAAATACCCCTTGATTCCTAGTGGTTTGACTTTTCTTTGTTGTGCTTAGATTCTCTTGTCGGAGGTCCAACTTTCAGATCACTACTAGGATTGAATCTAGTGTTTGTCGAACTCCAAGAGTCACACACACACTTTTATCATGGAATCTATGCTTTTCACATAATGCATCACTTTCTTGCATGAGGAATCTTCTACAGACTGTGCACATTGTGTTTACTAGTAATTGTGCTTCTTGGATAATCTTGTGTGTTCTAAGGTACAAATTTGAGATTTCTTGCTTGCTCCACCATATTATTTTTGTCGTTTTTCTTCTTGTTCACTGTTTTCAGTGCTGTGGTTGCTTTTAGTGAGGGGGAGTTCGGTTCATCTTTGTTTTGTTTGGTAAGGGAGATTGGCTATAGTTGTTTTTCATGTTGCTATGCATTGTTTGCTAATTATTTCCTTCTTGCATGTTCCTGGTATTTACATCGTCATATCATTACTTGGTTGGTTTATGATCTTGCTTTTGTTGTTTGAGAGTTATTTTTCACGAGTCTTAGTTTTCATCTATTCATGTTTTCCATCTCATGTTTCAAGATAATCGTGTCATATGTCTATTGCTTTTTCATATACTCTTGTGGGACTAATAGTTGTTTTGGAGATTGTGGCACTAATATAATAATTGTTTTGCAGATCATGACCTTGAGAAAGATGTTGGCTTTTGTTGGCTGTAATGGGTTGGGGTGTTTAGGATTTTATTTGTTAGGTGTGTTTTGTCACGGCATTGCGGCATTGCCAAAGGGGGAGATTGTTAGGTTTTATTCTTGGCAACCCCGTTTGACAAAACTCCTTTCAGTTGTATTTGATTTCGCACCTTTTATTTCAGTGAGGCTATGAGTTTATTAGATGCGAATCCAACTCGAATCGTGCCTTTGTCAATTTCCATGGATCAAAACTGAGGTTGTAACAGGATCTAGTTTTCCAGATTTTCCAATTTTGGTCGTCCCTCTCGAGCGGGGAAAGTGACGCTCGAGCGGGGATTGCAAGCTCACAGCATCTCTGCTTCGCTTGAAAAAGTACTGGATGGTGTGATTCGATGCTCGAGCGTGGAAACTTCTGCTCGAGCGTGAAGCCTATATGAATCACACAATTTTGAAGCCTCCGCTCGAGCGGGAATTACCACGCTCGAGCGGACCGCGCGAACATAGATTCTTAGATTTCTATAAGGAATTGGTTTTCTTCCAAAACTAGGATTACTTTGGATTTCTATAAGTAGTTGGTTTTCTCCCAAAACTTTACCAACTTCTCCAGATCTTCTTTTTGGATTCTAAGGTTTATATCTGGGGATATTTTGCTAGTTTTCTTTGATGTTTTGATTGAGTATTCAACTCATGGTTTAAAGAGTATACATCAAAGGATTATTTGTTTGTTCTACACAAAAGAGAGAGTTATTCTTCAGTGGATTCTGAAGAATTCGAACCTGAAGCTTTGGTGGATTCCGGAGTGGCTCATCGTCAAGACAATTCTGAGGTGAAGATGGCGTTGGAAGAGGCACATAGAGGTTGGTTCAATTAGGCGTGGATTCACTAAGTAATTGAGAGTATACCTGTGTAGTTCCTTTAAATTTTCTTAGTGGATTGTTTTGTGGCTGTTGCCCGTGGTTTTTTTATCACAATTGGAGGTGTCCAATTGTGGTTTTTTCACGTAAAATCGTCATGTTGATTTGTCTTGATTGTTTGATTGGGATTGCTATATATTGCTTAAAATTGATACATAATCACAAATCAACATCTAGGGATTTCTAGATTTTTCAATAATAAAATGCAATAAAAGAAAAAGAACTCCCTTAAATGATAATCAAATATATAGCATTATTCTAATCACATACATCTCTTGATTAAAACATTAAGACCGTCCAACATCCACTGCAAGAATATCGGGAATTAGCGACGTTTTTAAAACGCTGCAATAGGCTAAAAAAAACGCCGCAAAAAGATAAAACGACATTTATAAAATTCGTCGATGATGCGGCTATCGTTGTATCTTTGTGACGTTTGAAAAACGCCACTAAAGACTTTAAACGACATTTTCTAAAACGCCACTAATTCTATACAACCGTTAACTGTGCACGTTAGAAGAGTTATCTCTGACGTAATCAAGACGACATTTCGCAATGTTTTTAAGAAAAACGCCACCATTTCTCTCATTTTTTTTAGAAAAAAAAACAACAAAAAAAATCATAATTAATGTTCTTTTGACTTCTGTTCAAACCAAACTTATATCATCCATCACCATTCTCAAAATATATACCATAATGTGAATGAGCATTATTTTTCAAATTTTCATAAAATAAATGAATTAATTAAACTCCTTAAAACATAATATGACAATACAAAATAATAATAATATTCAGTGTGCTGTCCAAATTCTCTAAAAATAACTTCATCCATAGCTCTCTCGTCAGCTTCATCAAGTCATCATCATCTTCACCAAAATAATGATTATATACCTGAATCATCCAATTCCATTAACACAACTTCAATAAACTTGAATGGTTGGAAAATCTACATACTCTTGCAAACCATGTCAAGAAGGCTAGAAAGATAAGAAATTATGAAATTTCCAAGTGCATGTATAATGAAAACTTTTTTATTTATACATTGTATTCACAATATGTGTAACTTTGAAAGTTTGGTTTCATCAAACATCCATTAATATAACATAGAGCAAAAGCATCAGCAACCATGAGAAAAAAAAAATCAAAAAGTAATGCCAATTACAAACCAGTCTATGTTTACTTAGAATAGGTTTACCAGTCACCACAGCGGGTGACTAGCCATGAAATTTTGATCCATGCCATTGTCTGTTTCAACACACAACAATTAAAAATGAGTTTAAAATTTCAGCAAACATTAGAAAGCATACACATGGAAAGTACTCAACAGCATTATTTATTAACCTAAACAACCATTAACATCTAATGCTACCTTCTTTACAGAAGCAATCAATTCAGGTAAAACTTGAATACTGGATCACATCATCTCCAATCTTGATAACAAAAATGTTAGCTATTTGTTATCTCTTGATTTCGACCTCCTAGCAACTTGAATATGTGTCAAAGCTAAATTTAGCCTTATACCACCAATTGAAAAAAAGAAGACACGACAATGGTGTGCCAAATTTTGGCATTATACCACCAAGTATAGCACAAGACCCAAAAGACAATTCTATAGTATATACTGTAACTATGAAATTGATTATATATACTGTAAAAGGACCAACCTCAATATGAACCAACCAACTGTTAATTCCCGTTCCAAATCCGTTATCATGATGGTATGCCGGTGGACTCCCATCCAAACAGACTACGCGCAATATCAAAATTGAAGAAGAACAGTACGATGAATATTGTTAAAAAAGGAAATAAAGAAATAAAACAAAATAAGTCAATTTAATTATTTTATTGCAAAACAAAAAAACTCACCTACTCCTTTTGCAACAGCATTCTCAACATAAGTTATTCTAACATTGAATCCTTCTGTTTTCAGCAAGAGCACTACACAAACTAGTATTTGTAACCATTGGCTTAATCTCCCACTGTTCATTCTGCACATTGCTAACGGGGTCATCATCAGCATACCAAAATTACATTCAAAAAAATAAAATTTAGAAAGGAAAAAAAAGAAAAACAAAGCATACCATCTAGAATCATCATTAATGATAAAAAAAAAGGACTGCTAAACCATGTATGTTATGGAGAAAACTTTACCTTTTCATTTATGAGGAAGAAATGTGAATACACGAAAGGAATCTAACAAACCACCTTGGATATTGGGAAAAAAAAAAAAACAAAACAAAACATGTGATTTTCACAACATTTTTGCCAATGCATATCTATATTATAGATGTCCAGTACCATCATCACATATCTACAGATAAGATAGATATGCACCTATAAGTTCTTGTGTATATAGTCTAGTCTAGTCTGCAACTGCAATCACCATCACCCTCTTTCTTTATTTATCACACGCAGTGTCCTATCATTTATTTATCTAACTATTACATTATTATTGACACATTACATAATCAACCAAATCCTAATTATTAAACATGATCACTGTGTAATTACTTGTCTGCATTACAATGGGCTGCCCATCCACATTTTGGTAGCACTTCAATGCTTTAGATCTGCTCCCAACCAGCTGTCATAAATTCTGGTGGTGTTTGTAGCAATGTCTCTAAATTATTGAGGAACACTTAAAAGAGTCAAAGAGATCAGAAATAAAAATCAGAATAATGCTCAATGAACTACAAAGAAGAAGAACTAATATTTTGAAATATTAGTGTTGGTGCATAATATATGAACTGTACATTTCAGTATTAAAATTATTTTCTATATTCATCACTTTGATATGTATACACCCATGTATACACCCATGAATTGTGTATCTTCAATATATGTAAGTGCCAGCTAGAATAAGTAATAGCATTGCGAAATTAAGTAAACAATAAATGAAACAGTGTTATATAGTCAAAGATGAATAGTAAATATTAAATGTTATAATAGTGTTCAAAAAATAAAAAATAAAAAGGAGCAAAAGACAAAATAAATCTAAGTCACAATCACAAATGACAAATACAACACAAAAAAGTAGATCAACCAGGTGCCAAATTCGCAATTCTCATCATCCTTCAGTACTTTCTAAAAAAGACTAATGCATTAGGCTCCGGGTGTAACGAATATAAGCCTATTAGGCATATTAGCCAGAAAATTACACAAATTAGGCCATATAGCCTGGATTTCTTCGTACTTTTTTTCCCTCGGCTAGAGAAACCCCAGTGATGGCAGATGCACCACATATTTTACACATCACTAATTATAATAATATTTAATGAAATTTATTCATCAATGTACATGACACACCATGTGTAACGTTGTCACATCGGTTCATAGTGCTACAAAGGAGAGACAATGATTATTCACCTATGCATATATCTGGTCAATACACATCAAAACTATCCTATTAAGTTTCTCGTAAATATTTATATCAAAAAGCTAATATAATTCAGTACGATACATCAAGATACAAGAAAAGAAAAATTTTGAAAGCAAAATAAACTAGATTGTCATAATGTCTTTATATTCAAATGAACCAAATCATAAGAAACAGACTTATGAGACCAATATGAACCTTGCCCAGACACTAGTTAACAGATAAATATTGCCCAAGCAACACGTTAACAGAGGTGACACTAGCCCCCAAGCTCTTAAAAAAACACAACCTAAGGGAATATATAATCATAGAAGCATCAAGGAGAGAAACATTTGAAGAAAAGCAACAAACGAAGCATCTATAAGCTTAAACGTTGAGTTTAACAAGACGTTTCTACATCAATCATGGAGAAGTAATCAAACATAAACATATTGCCTAAAAAATGGAAACAGTCAACAGATCCACGACTCATAAGAAATGGACAAAATCAATTGTCCCAATGGTAAGGATGAAAAAAGATGATATGGCTACCAAGTAGGGAAGTGGCATAACCATATTTGAAGCTAAAGAGCAACAGTTAAATTATAGCAAGTCATAGTAATTAAATATTGAAGGAGTATAGCTAAAACTGCAAGATCATTCTAGCAAAATAAATCTTAATAAACCAAATTGATACAAATCATCAAACTGTGGCAATCTCCAAAATCAACATATAAAACTTTAAATTCACAAAGGTACCTCACAAATCTCATTGCCTCGCTGAAACTCTTCCATCATCACACGCAATGTGCTTGTCAACACATTGTAACTAGAGTTCATGAAGGGATATGCAGGAGTTATGATTGGCATCAGGTGCTGCCTATCCCTGAAATTTCTCCTGGGATCCCAAACAGGAAGTCCCAGAGAACCATCCTGAATAGGCCATAACATGACAGGATTTGGCCACCGCCAAAGGTTATAGACCTTGAAGAACCTTGAGACCAACATATTAGGTAGTGCATTTGGGTAAAGTTGGCATATACGAGCAACAAGTAACGCCCAATTGATACCACCAAGAAACCCCAAAACCTGATTGTGACAGAGAATCACACAGCATATGTAGTCAGAAATGAGACACAGTAGCAAGAACAAAGAAACATTAAGAATGAAAGAGCATCCTCACATTTGAATAAACCCCACGTCGCTTTGCCCAGAGTCTCATACGTCTCAGTGTAATACGAAAGCTCTGACCATGACAAAAATAAACACAATCAGCAACACATACAAAAAGCCAAATTTATGAACAAAAATATTCAACCACAACCTGAATATTTCGGACCAAACGCAAATTTGATCAGTCACTCTGCATCCATTGAGACTATGAACTGTCTGCTTATCTACATTCTGCAGTATTGAATCTTGTGAAATATCCAAGTCCTGTAACAGATAAACATATTTAGAGATGAAAATCAAAACCTAAGCAAGAGTTTATTTAAATGGAACACAGATCCAGATCGTTACTGTGTAGTGATGAAAACCTCTGAATCTTGAGTTCACTCACAACAAGTCTAGATCAGACTCAATGAATAACAAGCCCTATAATGAAAATCAAAACTCTAATCAAATGTAAATACAATAATTTTCAATGATAAATTTGAACATATATGAAAACTAGTAAATCAAATACAAGATTGCTACCATGAAAGCTCTGTATCTCAAGTGAACTTAGCAACTCCAAATCACAAGCGATTGGATACCTGAATCCATGAAAAATGAAGACCTAGATTGGTAAAGATTAAGGGAAATCAAAAAATCTCGAAGGGAAATCGAAAAATCTCGAAGGAAAATATTAAATCCTAAGCCCTAGTGCACAAATCGAAATTGAGATCCAGATTGAACAAGAAATCGTTGAGATTAGAAGCATCAATCTCTCTGTAGATCTGTAAACTCCAAGAAGTCTTCATTGCTGGTTGCATCCACAGCTCCGTAATTAGGGCTACTGAGAGAGAACCATTTTAAAGAGAGAGAGAGAGCCATTTGGAAATGTTTGAATAGATATGGGTTAAGTCTCTGTGAAGTTAAACAGACTTGTCTTATTGAGACAATCAAAAGGGCATCCTATTAATTTAGGTGATATCACTTTTTGAAAAGCATGTTTGCCATTGAAATGTATCATAACGTTTTTAAAAGCGTCTTGATAGAAGCGCCACCGTAAGCAACTTTTTTTTTGTAGTGATCAAATCTAGAAGTCAAACATTAATTATACTGAAAGTCGAACAATACTTCAACTTGCTATGCTGATTTTTACACAATTATCATTTGAAACGTTCACCTAATTTGCAACCTTAAATTTATAAAGCAAAGCAACCCAACATAGGAAATATGCCCGATTTTCTTCAGCATTATTCCTGTAAGCATATTAGAACCAAACATAGGAAGACCAAAAATTGTACCTCAAACTGCAAGATCATCTGCCATCATCAATGTTCAACATGGAGAACACTCAGTGCGCATATAAAACGACTTGTATCTGTAAAATCATCCATAGGAATGTCATAGTCATCAATTGGGATGCTATGAGAAGGCAACTGCTGAATGCCAGGCATCGACAGCACCCACGACGTGTCTGTTGTGCTGTCCTCATGAGGTTCTCTGTGCCTTGCAGTTTGTTGAAGCTGCAATGCATATTCCAAGTCCCACACAACATCATTCATGTTGGGATTTTGAACACCATATTCTTTCAAACACTTCTCCACCGTTTCACCAAACTTTCTCAACGAATTGGGATTGATCTTGCCCACAAGCAAAGGATCAACAATATTTTCAAGCTGCCCTTTCTTTTGCCAAAACAACCCCCATTCAGCCAAGTTTACTTCTCTCTCAGGAAGCAAGTTATTGATGGCTGGTCTTGCACAAAGCACTTCTAGGAGAACTACCCCAAATGAGTAAACATCGGATTTCTGCGGTAACTGCAGGCATCTAAAATATTCAGGATCAAGGTAACCAAAACTACCTTTTACACTTGTGCTGGCATGGGTATGATCAAGATCACCTAATCTTGAGAGACCAAAATCAGCAACTTTAGCCATATAATCCTCATCAAGTAAGATGTTCGTTGACTTAACATCACGGTGAATGATGCCTCTTCCTGAACTATTATGAAGGTAATCTAGACCCTTTGCAGCACCAATGCAAAGTTGAAGCCTTTGGTTCCAAGACAATTCAGATTTTGATGATGTTTTCTGAGACTCTCCATTCAAAATGTATAGATGATCCCTCAGAGTCCCCTTCTCCATGAACTCATAACCAAGTATCATCTCAGACCTTTTATCACAATACCCAATCAAGGAAACAAGATGGCGATGGCGAATTGAGGACAAGACTATGATCTCTGTATGGAATTCTGGACGGCCCTGGCCATTTCCTGGCTCACTTCATTTGACAGCCACCTTCATGCCATTCCGAAGAGTTGCTTTGTAGACTTTTCCAAACCCACCCTCACCAATCATCAACTTAGTGTCAAAATTATTAGTTGCAAACAAAATTTCTTGAAAAGATAGCTTCAACCCAAGATTTAGATTATCAAGAGGGAAGCCATTGACCGTTCTTTCAGTAGTACTAACATAAGAACTCCCTCCCCCATAATCAGGGATTGCATGCCAAACTGAAGTTTCAACAGGCTTTGCTCTCTTGTAATTCAAACACACCACCACCACTACTACCCACATTAACAGAGACGCCACACTTCACCTCAGTTACCAAACCCAATCCTGTTGTTATCTCCATGATCTCTACTCCATTCATAAAGGCTGTTTTAATTATTGAATCATTCCGAGGGCCAATACTGATATCCATAAAGCCAGAATTATCAGAATCAACCATGAAATCTTCGTAAATTGAACTGCCAACTGGCCAACAACATTATATGGATAAATGTTTTGACTAAATTTGCTATACAGATACAGATTGAACTGAAGAACATCATTTATGGATGTGCTAACTATGTCGCAAAAATGTACTTGAATGAAGCGTGGAGCATTCTTACTCACATTGAACCGCTACGTGATATTGAAGAAATTTGAACCCCCACTAGAGTTTACATTCAATTCTTTTGCAGTTTGGTAGACAAGATCAGGGGCAGAGCACTCAGTAGCTCCTCCAGTCTAGTACACAGGCCTATCACTATGAAATTCACTTTTCTTCGCTGCATTGGGGGTAACTAAATAACCATCATCAGATACCCAATTCCTCCATAGTGTATCTTTATTTGGTGTGATCGGAGGACCACCCACATTAGCCCTATAAACTGTGTGCAGGGCTTGAGAAAGCAAGCCATCATAGGTACCGCGAGCTTCTGAAGGAGTCACATAAATGGGCGAAGTCAAAACATCTGTGATGTTAGGGGCAAGAAAAACCTCAATCGCATTTGCAAAGGCAAAAGACGATTTCTGGTATGTGAGTGATTTTCTGACCACACTACCCGCTTAGTAACCAACCGAAGAGCACTGGCAGAATAGATGGTACCTGGTTGACCTACAACAGAAAGAGAAGATTCTGGCGGTGGTTCGTCCACCCGGGGGCACTCCGACGATCAAGTCAGTATATCTCTCAAAAATAAATCAAGTACTAAACTCACAAGCTTGAGTATCAAAAGCATACCTTAGACCCATGGGGGTGCCTCTCTTTTATAGCCAACATAAACCTAGTCCCAATAGAAAACCTAACTTCTATGAACTTAGGATTACTGCTAATCTTAGACTCCCAGTAAGATTAGGATAAACTTTCTAAGAGTCTTATCTTAATACAAACTGAAGTCTTCTCTCATTCTAGGGCTCTTGCCCCTCATCCGCTTATCTCGGATTCCGATATCTTCGGAGGTAACCTTGGCTTATCCGAGATGACCTCGGCATAACAACCAGGACACGTAGCACCTCGGCTGACACGTCGGCGTCATCTTGGCCACGTGTTGGTACTCAGAAAATATATCCCCACAATTGCCCCCTAGGTTCTATTACATCGGCATTCTGAGGTGATGGAACCTACACTGTTTGTTCATCTGTGCCCCTCTGTCCGAGATCAAACTCGCCAACCTCAAAGTTCCCTGGACTTTACTGTCCACTTCTGTCAAGTATCAATCTTCATGCTTTCCAAGCTGCTCGAGATCACACCTCCTAGCCGAGGTTCTTGTTCCATTAATTCGTAAACTCCAAGAGCTTTGTAACTGCTCCACTCACATTCTTCGGTGGGTTCCCGACTTCCAGTCATCTATTTGACTCCGGCGATCTTCATATCGGCGTTCATTTCTCTTGGTAGGTTCATAAACTCTTTTATTAAGCTCAATCTTTCATAAATCTTCTGAATCCGTTTACTTGCCCTCTGTTTTCTTCTATTTTCGTCTGTTTTCAAGTTTTGAATTGTTTGAACGCCTGGCACTATTCTTGCCATATCCGCTTCTGTTGCTAGCATCGTGTCTGGGTCATTACTTTCTTGTTCTTCACATACTTACTTAGTGCCTGTGCACTTGACTTTATTCTTGAACTATGTCATCTTCTTGACTCTAATTTTTCTCTTTTTTTTATTCAATCCTCTGGCTTTTTCTCTTTCTAGCTCTTTTGCTTAAATCTGTCAATTGTTCCAAGTTTTCAAGCTCTGTAACTATTTTCGTTCCTCTTCTCCAGTGAAGCTTACGTCATTCTGTCATTTTTGCATCCGTCGTCAGACTTCGGCAATTCTCATTCTGGCTTCCCTCTTTCTGGTAAGCCACTGTTCCTCCTGGTTTTATTTCTTGTTGCTTTCCAAGAAACCCTGCTTCATTGTTTAATCACCATTGCTGTTTTACCTGTTGTTTCCAAATCATCTTCTTGAATACTGTAATAACCCTCAACCCTGTTTACCGATAAACTACTGATTACTGCTAAACCGAGACTGATTACGATAAGTAATTGAATCAACTGAAATACTGAACAGACTGACTGAAATCTGAAACTGATTGATTGACTGTATCTGTTTAAATGCATTATCTATCTGTTGCCTGTTTGAATATCTGTTCACATTCTATGTTTTAAACTGCTAATTAAAGGCCTTATTGGCGGCCGAATCTGGAATCGATTGATGTTTTTTGATCATTAGAATTTATGTAATTTTATGGTATATTTATCTAAAGTGTGATTTGGTATGATTAAATTAGATTAAATTGTGTAATGTCATGAGTTAGCCTTATTTACCAAATGCCATTGAGTGGGCCACTTAGCTAACACAAACTTGAGCTTTTATTATACATTTAAACAAAACATTTGTTCAGCCATGGTCTCTTGTTATTGCCAACTAAGAGAGAGAGGGAGAGAAATTGAGTTCCTTCTTGTGTTTTGCTTGGTGAATTAAAGAAATTGAAGGTTGATTTCAAAATTGAGCCTCCTTACCTTTGATTCAAGACTTAAGGTAGAACATCCACCTTCTTGAACTTGTTTTTAAATTGATTCTTGCATGGTTCTTGCCAAATTGAAGAGCTAAGTCATGAATTAGTTCTAGCATGTTGAGTTGTAGCTCTAATCTTGAATGTATGTTTGTATTGTTGAGTTTTAAGTTGTTTTCATGGCAAAATGATACATGCATGCTTATAATTATTTTTAAGTCCATGATTTCATCTTGTTTTGAAAAGAATCGGCTCATTAGAGCATGTATTGAAGTTTTGAATTGTTTTAACTCATGCATGTTTGCATGTTCATCATGTTCATGAAAATTTGTTTGAAATTGAGTGTTTAAAACACCCTTGGGCTTTGATTTTAGAATTGAGCTTTGGAATCATGTTAAATTATGAGTTTTGGAATGTTTTCTGGAAAATTGACCCAAGAAAATCGAAATTTGTGCATTTGAACTTGGTTTTGAGCTTGGAAGTTTAAATCTGGAAATTCCAGATTTTGAACTCCCGCTCAAGCAAGGAAAGTGGCGCTCGAGCGGGAAATTCGTGCTCCCAATACTTTGCACTGTTTTGACGTCCGCTCGAGCGGAATAATTGACGCTCGAGCGGGACCTTGTGTATTACGCTCGAGCGGCTATCGAGCGCCCATCGAGCGTGATTTTCACCTATCCAGTACTTTTGCCCTGTTTTGCAGAACGCTCGAGCGCATACCTTTGTCTGCATGTCCGCTCGAGCGGGGAAACCTAC